TCATGATCTAGAGTTAGCAGCGGTTATATTTGCCTTAAAGATTTGGAGGCATTATCTGTGTGGTAAGAAATTTGAAGTGTTTTCTAATCACAAGAATCTGATGTACTTATTTACTTATAAAGATTTAAATTTGAGGCAGAGGAGATGGATGGAGTTCAGAGACTTGAATTTGAGGCAGAGGAGGTGGATGGAGTTTATTGAGGATTACGACTTCGAGTTGCATTATCATCTGGGGAAGGCCAACGTTGTGGCCGATGCCCTTAGCAGGAAATCCATTAGTGATGTTGCTTGTATAGCCATCCGGGAGTGGGAAATGTTGGGTGCACTTGGCGAGTTTGATTTGCTTCTGGGTGAATCTGTTGAGTCTGTGGCCTTGTTTTCTGTAGTTGCGCAGCCTACACTTATGAGTCGAGTGTTAGAGGCACAGAGAGGTGACCTTGAGGTAGAATCCCTCCGGGAGAAGATCTCTAGTGGGAAGGTTGCGAAGGGTTTGACTGTGTATCCCGACATGAGTGTGAGATACCGAGACCGTTTGTGCGTGTCGGAGTCTTGCCAAGAGGAGGTACTCCGAGAGTTTCACCATTCACGCCTTGCAGTGCATCCGGGAGGTACTAAGATGTATCGTGATTTGGGTCGCCAGTTTTGGTGGCGAAGTATGAAGAAGGATGTGGCAGTTTTTGTGTCTAAGGGCCGTACTTGTCAGCAAGTGAAGGCCGAACATCAAAGACCAATGGGTTTGTTACAACCCTTGCCTATTGCCGAGTGGAAATGGGAGCATGTCACTATGGACTTCGTTGTAGGTCTTTTGAGGACTCAACGAGGTAGTGATGCTATTTGGGTGGTTGTAGACCGGTTGACTAAGTCGGCACACTTTATCCCTATGCGCGTGAGAGATTCAGTAGATCATCTTGCCGACTTGTATATGCGCGTAAGTGATTCAATAGACCATCTCGCCTTGTATATCAGGGACATAGTGAGGTTGCACGGAGTCCCTATGACGATCGTTTCGGATAGAGATTCGCGTTTCACAGCCTGATTGTGGCAGAGTTTACAAAGTGCCTTGGGCACTAAGTTGACCTTTAGTATTGCGTATCATCCTCAGACTGACGGACAGTCAGTGCGTACTATTCAAATCCTTAAGGATATGCTGCGAGGTTGTGTGCTTAATTTTAAGGGGTCGTGGGAGAGGCACCTGCCCTTGGTGGAGTTTGCCTACAATAACAGTTTTCAATCAAGTATTGGCATGGCACCATCTGAGGCCTTGTATGGCCGACCGTGTAGAACTCCGGTATGTTGGGCCGAGGTGGGTGATGCACCTTTGTTGGGCCCAGAGTTGGTACAGGAAACGACGAAGAAGGTAGCACTTATTCGTAAAAGGTTGGTTACAGCCTAGAGTCGCCAAAAGAGCTACGCAAACCGTAGGAGGAGATCCTTGTCTTTTGAGGTGGGGGATCATGTGTTATTGAAGATATCACCTAGACGGGGTTTGATGAAATTTGGAAAGAGTGAGAGTGAGAAGTTATCCCCTCGGTTTATTGGCCTTTTTGTGATCCTTGAGCGAATTGGGGAGGTTGCTTATCGTTTAGTATTACCGCCATAACTTTTCGGGGTGCATGACGTGTTTCATATTAGTTTGTTTTGGAAATATGAACCGGATCCATCACACATGCTGGATTGGACAGACCTAGAGGTAGATGAGGATGCCTGGTATGAGGAGAGACCGGTGAGGCTCTTGGATAGGCGGGACCAAGTTTTGCGAGGCAAGACAATTCCCTTGGTCAAGGTATTGTGAAAACATCATGGGGTCGAGGAAGCGACATGGGAGCATGAGTTTGAAGTCCGAGAGAAATACCCGGACTTGTTTGTTGATGTTTAATTTCGTATTGAGATTTCGATCATGACGATGAGAATTATATACATTGTATATGTTAAGAAATTTTGAAAACATTGCATATGTTATGGGCATTTTGGAAACATGGATTCTATATAAGCATTGTATATGTTTTGAGAATGTGGAATATCTTATGTGTTGTGTCACTTTTGGAAGCATTGTATATGCCACGTGAAATTTTGAAAATTTGAATTTTGATTTAAACATTGCAAATATTTGGGAAATTGTAAAATGTATCTTCAATGTGGACCTTGTGTATCGAGTTCATGGGTATGGATGACCGGAGAATGGGTCATAGTGATGGACTTATGAGAATAACATTGTTGTGAATGGTTTAATTATGTTGTGAGCTTGATTTGTAATTTCGGGGATGAAATTCTTTAAAGGGGGGAGGTTATAAAGATTTCGATTTTTAACCTGTCTCTTGTGGTATTCTGGACTCGGGTTGTATGGGTTTGAAAGATTATTCATGTCTTGTTTCCCTTGTCTCCCCTTTATTTTTAGTTATTGGATTGTAATTGTGCGTTTGGAATAGGTTCATTGCTTTCTTTTCAAAACTTGTGTTGCACAGATTTTGGCCTCTCCGCTCGAGCGGGCTTCACAAATTTTGCTCCTCCGCTCAAGCAGCCATTCCCATGCTTGAGCAGAATTCTTTAACTCTCAACATTTTTTTTAGGTCTGCAGATGCTAGAGAGTGCATTCGATGCTCGAGTAGGAGTCTGTGTCTGACGCTCGAGCGGGGATTCTCACGCTCGAGCAGGGACCTTCATCTGCAGAACTTCTGAAAGTGTGTATTTCTCGCTCGAGAAACACTTTTCACGCTCGAGCGGACTTCTGTGTCTGACGCTCGAGCATCACTTCCCACGCTCGAGCGGATTGCGTATATAACAGTCAGAGAAGATGACATTTTGAATCACTTTTTCTTCTCTCTCTCTCTCTAAAACTTTCCAAAAAGCTTGTTCTTGAGCCTCTCTCTCTAGAATCCACCTTCTCTCTAGGATTTTATCTAGATCCATTGGGATTTCCACCATAGTGCGTTTGAGAAAAAGGTAGGGCTCATCAAGATCTTCGTTTTGAACCGAGTAAAAGTGTGTTTCGACATTCTTGGAACTCCACACTTGCTTGACTCGTCTTCTCTCTTTGAGGTAGGGATCTTTCTACACCTTCATATGATATTTGGCTTAGTTATTGTCATTTGTGTAACAATGGTGTTATTTGGGAATTTTTAAAACAAACCTAGGGTTTGGAACATAAAATACAAAGAGGGGCTTTGGGTGTAGGTGAAATTAATGCTTGTGGGGTTTGAAAATAATGTTGTGCTATGTCTAATTTGATGATTTTGGCACTTGGTTAATATTTGGGAAAAATGGGAGAGATTGCCCTAATTGGATCAGACTATTATTTTGAACAAATAATTGGATTTGGCATTGAAAACTTGAAATTGAGAGGATAATGATATGAATGGTGAAATTGGTTATGTATTAACTCATTCTTTTGGGAGTGTTAAATAAAATATCTGTTATGAGATTTTACATCTGTTTAGAAATAACTGTATTGGGCTATCGGTGAAGGATAACTATGATTGTTGTAGAAATTGCATGTGGTTTAGGTGAATTGAAACTAATTGCATGTGCTTGTCATTGAATATGACTATACTTATATACATCGAATATGTACGGTTAGTTGGGAGTGGAAAGAGGATATACTTTGAGTTTGTATTTAAATACATTGCATATGTATGAATAATTGTTTGGGAGGAGAAAGGGGATGAACTCCATTATAATTAAGTTGGCCGGAGTGTTCTGGGTGAAAGTCCCGAAATTATACATGGGTGCCTAGCCCGCAGACGAAATATCCGTAAAATGGCAATTGTAATGCTTGTATAGCCTACGTCTACATGGGTTCCGTTTGATGGCTGCTCGCGGACGAAATATCCGTGAAAGAATACATGGGTCCTGGTTGACAGCTTCCCGCGGACGAAATATCCGTGAAAGAAAAGTTTGAAGTGCTTACATTTGGTTCCTATAAAGCGACAAACAGACTTGGATTTAAACTTAGTACCGAAAAAGATGTTTCACATGTAAAGGTGCCAACACACTTTTTGCATAAGTAGAAAGTTGGGAATACTTTAAGACAGAGTAAGCCACTTTGTGAAACATATTATTGGAAAGGTCTCCTGAATAATCTACTATGCAACTATAGAAAGAGAGGGAAATAGAGATTTGTTTTTTCAGCTAGTTAGTTTTCCTAATTACTTTAATATTTGAATTTCTATTTTCCTAGTTTGTTTTCCTTAGCATATATTAATTGATATGACTTACTTTATTGATTTGGAACACAGAAAATTGGTATTTAGGCAACAAACATAAAATTTACCATAAAATAGCCCAACCAATACAAAACAGTGCTTCCAAATTGGATCAGTACGATCAGATCTAGATTCAGGTTCCGCTATCCTATAATTAGGATCGAAAGGTCCCTACTTACGTGGGATTTTTTACAGACCAATTTGGCCCAAATGGATCGTAAGATCTGGATTAGGATTCTAATAGCTATGGTGAGGGGTTTCCCAAATGAAACCGCGTAACCTAGGCACAACTATTACTTAAAAAGGAATGGATAATTAACTTATCAGTAAGAAAATTCAAAATGGAAGGCATCAAAAGGGGATGTAGCCCTCTCACAAAAAGATTAAACCATGTTAACCTAAAGTTCACAAGCATCGAGTAATAAAATTCAATACTTCAATTTAAGAAAGCCTTATGGAAGTGCCTCCCATTAGCTTTTGATTGATTTTCGAGGTTTTGGCCGTAAAAAGAAGGCACAAGTGTTGTGGGACTGCTTCTTTTGTGCAATTTTTTGGATTATTTGGTTGGAGTGAAATGCTAGAATTTATTAGGACAAGACAAAGGATGTTAATGTCTTATGGAAGTCTATCGTCTTTTGGGGGGTCTTTTGGGGGCTCTATTTACTCTCTTACCATCTTCGATTTAAACCATTGTTTGACATGTAAAACATAAGGCACTATTTACTTCTTTTTTTTTTCCTTTTTGGAGGACTTCTTGTCCTCCGGCTCTCTAGTAATCACATTCTGTTTTAACATTATCCAATTTTTGTTGCAAATGAAAAATATAATAATAAAATGTAAAATCAACCTGAATAATAAATTTTATTTCCCCCAAGTGTGGCTTTTATATTTATAGGAAAAAACTAATTCCAAAAAACAAACATGATATGTTCAACCATATGTGAGGATCCAACACAATAGAGAAACTAGAACTCAACCTTGTTGAAGTCGGGACAACCTTCAGGCCTCTGTTCCAAATACACATCACAATGGCTCAATTTATTGGTCTTGCACTGCCCAGTAGAAAAAAAGAAAAATATACCTCATAAGTAAGACTTATCATTCAAACATGCCTACTAATGTGGATACAAAATAATCTCTCACAAAAAAAATCAGTAAGAACATTACTTTCCACTGAACACTACGAATCCTTCAAAAAAAAAAAAAACTGGCAATACGTTAATATATCATTTGTTTAACTATTTTAAATGCTTCTATAAAGTGGAAAAAGTGTACCTCTTTATAGAGCCCCACAAGAGGCTCGCATTCTTTGCGCTTCGTTAACAGTTCATAATCATAGTTTTCACCAAAAAGCTTGAAGAAGCTTATAACTGCAGTCTCGAACCAATCTTTTGTAGGTACATGGAAAATAAAAGAAAGTGCCAATTGAGCTAGTGTCTTTACTTCCCTGAATAGTGAACATTAACTTTTGAAAAACTTACGTCTGCTAGATTATTGGTCAAACAACTATTCAAAGCCAATTTATTGATTATTTGTTAATTTTATTAATTTTTCTGATTGCTTTAGATAGTTATTATGAAGTAAAAGTAAAATTTAACCAAACCAAACCTCCAAGTTGTCCAATTTCCGTGCAGAGTGGTCCTATACCCCATTTAATTACAATAATAATCAAACTAAAAAGTTTAACTCCTGCTTCCATCAAGGGTATTTTTTTCATTCAAATTTTGCCATAAGGAGTTGTTTTTACAAGTAACATAGATGAATATGCAGTTGAAGAAATAATACCAATTAGTCAAGGACTCAAAATAAGATATAGAATAGAAGAGTTCAATAAAATAAATTGATATGAAAATATAGTAGATATACTTACCATAATCCCCCCTGGAACTTGAAGAAGTCCCAAAAGACGTTCCTGCCAATTGACACAAACCAAATCAAACAATTATAGAAATAAATGAAAATTAGCAACCATATAAATTAGTCCCCAATATATATATATAATGCTTGCATTTGAGCCCACATGGTGCGGGTGCTATTATTTTTTGAAATCGAGAAGAGATTTGATGGTTGAAACTGTAAAGAGTTTCTATTATGAACATGGGTATTGGCTTGCAATTACATAATTGTCCCTTTCTATGGTAAAGAAACACAAACAAAAAAACTATCTCACGCATGGGTGTTTTGGGGAAAAAATTCATTGTGACACTTCACCAAGTGTGTTCACATATAATAATAGTATAGATATTCATCCTTCAATCTCATTGCCGATAATACATAATGAAGTTCAGGTGAGTTTTATACTATTAGGGTTAGGGGCACCAGTGATGTAGATGAAAGATGTGGAGTTCATATGGCTCTGATAAATGATAGAGCAGAATATGCACAAGTAGGAAAGGGCAAGGGCTTCTGGCAAAGGAATGTTTGGCTGAGATATATATATATATATAAACAAACACAGATTTTATGACAAGAATGTTAAGACTTTTACCATTACTCTTCGGATTAGGCACTCGTAAAGTCTGCAAAAACTCTTCTGCAAAAGTGACTCCAAGAAACAGCATAATTTAAATTCAAATAAATAACAGATGAAATGAGAGAGAGAGAGAAAGTGATAATAAAAAACTATTATTAGCCTTCAAACTGCCCCAAAGTGAAATAATAAGCAGCAAAATCCTTGACTAAGCCTCATTGAGGTTCACTGTAGACATTATACATATAACAAATAAGAGATGACGAGGTGAAGCTTGGCCATAAGCTAAATTGTAGACTACAATATTGAAAAAGAGAAGAATAGGCAAGGCAATCCTTCCATGAACGCTAACATATTAAAAAAAGATCTGAAGAAGTGTTAATGAAGGACATGAATTTGGTTCAGGATGACCAATCCAAAATGGATACCCAACCCCATTGCCATTCCAATCCAAGGCTGATTTTTTTTTTTTTTTAATTGGCACCGGGGTGTCCAAATCAAAGCCCAACTAATCCCCAAGGGTGCTGTGATGACCGGTGTCATTTTTTGCGTCACTTCACTTTTGTTTTCATTGGGTTTGCGATGTCCGGAAGCCTTTCTCAAATAATTTTTCGTTCTTGTTTATTCGGTGTTGATTCTTCACTAGTTCCAGAGAGTACTAGGTCGAGTCCGAAGTGCATAGAATAGAGCTGAGAGTTTTCTGGGCAGCTGGGCCAGGGGCCGCACGTGCGGGGGATAAGGCCGCACGTGCGGGGTAGGACGAGTTGTGGGAGGTTGCACACTGCCTAAAAGGCAGGTGCGGAATGAAGTGCGGGAAGGACCACCGCACGTGCGGGGAAAGCGCTCCGTACGTATGGAATTTTGGCAGTCCGAATCTCTATTTTTTTTTATGTCTTTCGGCCGAATTTGTATCATATTTGGGGCCTCTCTATCTCACTCTAAACCTCATTTTTACTTCTCCTCCTCTCTAAAAACCCTCATCTGGCACTCAAGATCTTTGATTTCTTGTGATCCTTTGAGCCTAGAGTCATCATCCCTCTCTAATCTTGAAGATCAAAGCTAGGGCTCCTCTTGGTGTAGTGGAAATTAAAGAATCTTCCATCTTGACTCTAGTGTTTCATCCCTTTCATCATCAAACCTTGAGGTAGGGATTTCTTGAGTTATATATACATGTTTTGCTATATTGTTGTTGATTTAAAAGTTTTCTTGAAGTTATTATATGGTTTTGATGATGTAGCCAAGATGTAGAGATTTTCACATGTGGGTTTTAAAAAAAATCTCAAACCTTTCTAAAGATGGCATTTTGAGAGTGAAATCCTCTTAAGTAAGAAGATGGGGTGTTACTTCAAGTCCCTTTCAAGTATTTAGTGTGTGTGTGTGTGTGTGTGTGTGTGTGTTTTGTAGAGAAGAAAACCTAGAAATTTGGGGATTTTCTTGAATAAAAGAATATGAGGGTTTATGTTTGCCATTGTGTATAAATATATATAAATTCATAATGGTGTGCCTTGGCAAGTATGGAAAGTGGAGAGTTTTCCTTGTTTAATTATAAATGCTTGTATAACTACACAGTGATGTTGGGCTCCTCTACTCATAAAAATTTTGGAGATTGAAAGTGTTGTTTAAAATTTTGCGATATCATTAGAAATGGTGAAAGTAATGGAAGTGTATGGATTGTGGACATGTTATTGTAATGGTGATGATTGGTAACAAACTTTGGGCTATTTGTGGAATAGCATTGCAAGGAGAAAAGGAAGTTGATCATTATTGTGTATTGTGAATATTATGTCAAAAAACAACCAATTACGGCATTGCACATTCATTCAATTGATTATTACAAGATTTTTATTTAGCTTTGGCATGTTGTATAAACATTTTTGGCATCTATTATTGCAAGTGTTGAGTTGAGATTTGAAATCATTTTGCTTGAGAAAGGAATAATGTGAAATACTATTTTTGAAATGTACGGGGTAAATATGTTGGTAAGTCCGGTTAAGAGATGTAGATGAATTTGATAAGTTGACCTAAGTATCCGGGGTAAAAGACCGAAAACACGCGCAGATGAGGTACCTGAGTCGTATTTACCGCCCCTATTGATTAAAATTGGAGATTTCAGAATTATTGAGATTTTAAATTATTGTGATTTTAAACTATTGTTGAAACTTGATGATTTTCAAGAAGAGCATCTGCATGAAATTTCCTTTAAACTGGCATTGTATGGCATCGTATTTAATATTGGAAAGTCTAGCATAACTGTATATACTTTGTAAGGATTCTCTACTAGGCTTTATGCTCACCCCTATGGGATTTTGGTGCAGGTAAAGATTTGCTGATCCCCCCGAGTTGAGGGCGTGAATATATTGTGTGAAGAGTGGATAGCTCTATTTTGTTGTGATTTAATTGCTAGCCAAGGGCTATTTTTGTATGGGTTCGGGAGCCCACTTTGGTGTAACCGAGCTTAAGCCTTGGAAGTTGTAGCCCATGAGGGCATTTTATTTATTTTGAAACTTGACGCTCTACATGCTATAGATTCATGTATTCAACATCCTTGAATGTATAATTCGCATGTGGAATTTTTGTATGAAACCGGTGATTAATGATGTAAAGGTTGAAGGTTTCGTTATATTTATATAGTGAATGTTAAGTAAAGTATTTCATCTTGATGGATTATTTTCGGGGCGTTAGATCCCCTATCTCCTCCCAAACAATTATACATATACAATATATTTAAAAACGTGTCATATACAATGACTACCAAATTCACATATTCAACAATTTAATCAATTGTTATATTCAATGACATAGTTCATATGGCTAGTTTCAATTTACCTAGTTCTCATGCAGTTTCTACAGCAATTATAGCTATCCTCCACCGATAGCCCAAAATAGATACTTTCTAAACAGATAAACAAATTTACCAAATAGATAAATTGCCAAATTTTGCATAGGTGAGTGATTTAACAAACCCAACTACACCATTCAATTACACGTCCTTCCAATTTCATATTTCCACATCAATCTCATTATTTATACAAAATAATTTATTCAATTCAAATTAGGGCAATTTTTCCCCTTTCCCAAATATTACACCCAAGACCAAATTTCACCAATCATACCCAAGCAATATCATGTTCAAGACCTCTCATACGCATATGGTTCCAAATATTGAAAACCCCTCTTTCAAAAATCAAAACCCAAACCCTAACTTCACCCAATTCTCCCCAAATCCCGCAATTTATATAAAATGACAAATACCTAGGTTAAAACCCATATTAAAGAGTAGAATATCCCTACCTCAAGTTAGGAGAGAAAAGGAGGAGATGGAGACACTTTAAGCAAGCCGTAACTAAGATCTATTCGGATCAACACGGAGCCCTCAAGGTGCTCTACCTTTTTAACCAAGGCTCAAGGGTGTAGAAATCAAAGGATAGAGGTCAAAATGTAGAGAGAAAGGGACCTTTAGGGAGAGGGAGAGCCGATCTAGGGTTTTGGGGTGAAAAGATACAAAAATCTGTGAAAAAAATGAGTTGCTATGAACTGATATACGAGAGGCTCGCTCGAGTGAAGGAGTTGTCGCTCGAGCGACTAGACACAACAAGTGACCTCGCTCGAGCGCAAGAAGTCTCGCTCGAGCACAGAATGCAAAGCTTCAGGTCTGCCACAAACGCGGACGTACGCTCAAGCGCAAGAAGTCTTGCTCGAGCGTAATAAGCCTCGCTCGAGCGAAGAACTTCACTCTTCCAGAAAAGCTGCGTCTAGGAAAGTAACTTGAAAACCCTCAATACTCGCTTGAGCGAAGCAGCAAATTACACAAGGCTCGCTCGAGCGCAAAAAGCCTCGCTCGAGCATAGAGACCAAAATCTGGGCAACAACCATTTATACCAACTAACAACCAATCTGTTCCAAACTCACCCAACAAGTCCTAAAACTCAATTTCAAAGAATTAAAGGATGGAAACAAGACATAGACAACAATATACAATCAAAGAATCCGAGTCCAGAACACAACAAAGGTCGGGATAAAACCGGGATCGCTATAGTGCAATAATTGTACTATCAAAAAAAGTTAGATTTCCCAAAAGGAATCATTATTTTGAGACGGAGGGAGTAATAATATAATAAAAGCAAATGGCATTCCAAATCCAAAGGAAATTGTAGTCATTCAAAGTCTGCTTAGGCCCAATTTTTCAGACTGATGTGCACAAGCACCACATGGTGGCATCGGCACGAGGTTGAATCGTTCAGAAATATTCAACACATAATTCTATGTTTTATCATTCCATAAATTTGAAGATGATAGCTGTATTATGATACCTTTGATTGCCAGTTCCTTGGCCACTGCATAATCAGTGGACATTTTCTTGAGTACATGAACGTCAAGTTCCATACCCTAGAACACATGGGAAATTGGATTTAGTTTTTTAAACTAGAAAATAAATATCAAATCAGATACAGATTAAAGCACATCAAATTTATTTTTTATTTTATTTTTTTTATTTTTTTTTTAAAAAAAAAGAGACTATTTTGGAGGAAATTCATGGTATATTGTAAATTCCAAGATTGTTCTTTTGACATGAGAACTTCTTGCTATTTAGTACAGCAAGTTAAACCTGCAAATCAGTTAAATCCATCAGGACCCACAGAAAGTACCTATCTTTGAGTTTTATGTCTTCAAAAAAGCTTTTGTTCTACATTGGTCAAGTAGAGAAGGACATAGGCCAAACTTTTGATATCAAGGATCTAAGATGTCTCGAATATTTTCTGGGAATTGAGGTGGCTCACTCAAGACAATGGATTTTCTTGTCTCAAAGGAAATACACTCTTGACTTGCTTAAGGATACTGGTGGTGTAAACCTACTTCTACTCTTATGAATCCTAATCTCACATTAGAGTCTCATAAGTTGCTAGACAACCCAGGCATATATCAACATCTTGTTGGACGTCTCATTTATTTGACCCACATTAGACCTAACTTAACGCTTGAGGTTTGTGTTGAGTCAGTTTATGCATGCACCCCGTACAGAGCACCTTAACACGGTCCATCACATTTTGAGGTACTTGAAAACTTCTCCTAACTTGGGATTGT